AGCGGCACGGCCCCCTCCACTCCGAGCTCTGCTGCCGGCCGTTGCTGGCAACCCACCACTCCTTCTTGCTGCTTTCTCTGAACCCTCTCCATTTATCAACATTTTTGAAATGCGGACCCTGGAGCAGGATACCCTAGCAGCAGAGTCCAAAGAAGCGCAGTATCTGTGCACCGGCCCCCCCCATTTCTATGTGTGCACCTACCACTTTCCATGCACGTGCATACACACACACACACACACACACAGCAGATGACCTCAATAAATATTTTTGCTCTGTGTTTCAAACAACAATGGGTAATATTCATATTTCACAGTGGTAGTGAAATACCACATTTTATTCCACCAGTAATTAAGGAAGATGCTAAAGACAAACTTAAAGCAACAGTTTTTATAATCTGTAGAAAGATAACTTGCGTCTAAGAGTATTTAATTGGTTAATGAGTTCACTGAACCATTGATTTTTTTTTTCTTTCTAACAAATCATGGCACACTGGGGAACTTAAGATAACTGAGGGGAAAAAATCTAATGTCTTACTAGTATTTAAATGTGATCACATGGATACTCAAGAAACTATAGTGCAGTTAGTTCAACATAGATCCAAAACAATCATAGACAAGCAGCCAAGGGATGTTCTGGGTGAGTTAGTAAAAGCTAGAACCCAAATTAATGTCATCTAGCATTTTAAAGTAAATGATGTGATTTCAAACAATTTGATATCATTTTTTGGAAAACTTACAAGCTTAGTGAAATAATCTTGTGAAATGAAATTTCATGAAATATGACTCCATGGTAATCAAGGAGTTTGGGCAGATCTCCCATCCACACTGTAAAGAATAAGTTGTACATAACTATAGCAGCTTCCATACGGGAGTGACACTGTCGACAAGAACGGCAGCCTGAGCGAGGCAAGGAGTGAGAGTGATCTACAACATCACCAATAACACGGTGAGGAGGAACAGACTAGAGCTGCCTGCAGACTCTTCGAGTATACGCATTAAAGGGCACTAAATGAAACTAGAAGGTGACAGCATAAAAACAAATAAAAGGAGGCAATCAACACAATGTGCAACTAAGTCATGATCTCCTTGCCCCAGGGATATGGTAATGCTCACTCTTCCACGGGTTCACAAAATGACTGGTAAATTCGGGCACCCTGGGATACGGTTGCGGTCGGGGGCCGCCTGCGTGTGGCTGAGTTTGTGGTCTGGGCGCTGGGCTGCGGCCTCGGTACCAGCACATCAGACCCGCGAGCCCCGCGCTAATGCCCCACGTGGGGCCTGCAGCTCTCACCCTGGGGCAACTCCTGTGCCAGTAAGGGCATTCAGTGCTGCATTAGAAATTTCCCTTTGGAAAGCCTGAGAAAAAGTAAGAAAGCTTGTTATTATTGCCAATACGTGCTCAGGAGCATCAAACCGTTTTAATTTTGTCTTGTAAATGTTTCTAAAAATCAACTGCTAATTGATTAGCACAACTGAGTTAAACTCAGAGCCTGTTTTCTCAAGCTATACTTAGCTAGAAATTTTCAAACTGTTTCCATCTGAAGAAGAGCTTCAGTACCCAAAAGATTTGTGATCTTTTTTTCCAAGTAAATTAATCAATCTGCGAAAGATACTCCCTCTTCCTATTAGGCTCACATTGGTGGAAAACGGCTACTCAGCGGTAGCCTTATGCACCACAGAATTATTCCTTTTTAATTTTTTTTTTTTGAATATAGATGAAAACCAGTCTATAAGGACTTGTGCCCAGCGACCAGTTCCTTCCCTCGGCGTCTGTCTGACCTCAGCCCTCCCGCTTACTCCCGGATCTCCTGCCTGCCAGACCGGTAGCTGCGAGGGGAGCCCCGGAGATCCACCCACATCAGAGATGTACGTCCAGCTTAAGGCAATCCAAGTCTGTGCTGCCACCAAAAGGGGACCTGCCTTTTTCTGCTCCTCCTCCTGGTCACAGACGTGATTTGGCTAAACATTAATGCTACAGAAAAGCGAACAGAATTTGGGAGTTCGAATACAGGACCTGCTCCCATAAACAGACCGTTCTGAAAGGCCACAAAAAGCATGGCGAACTGGAAGGAGGTGACATCATCCTGGCTTCCTGCTTCTGATTCAAGGCGAACGTGGTACTGAGGTGTAAGAGCGGCGGGGGGGGGACCAAGAGGAGTAAATTGCAATGCTGCCCCAGTGTATCTTCTCCCAGCCAGCAGCAGTACAGGCGCTCCTTGAGCCAGCAGCAGCTTCCAGCCCATCCTGGTTAATGGCCACCAATGACTCCATCTTCTATGATTCTTTTTTTGAACATTAGCAAGTCTTTGGCCTTTAGAACATCCTGTACCAAAGACCCCTAGGGTATAATTATGTGCGCGTGAAAAAAAGGTTTTCTTTTGCTTGTTGTTCCCTTGGAAGACTCTAACTCGAATACCCTCCCTGCCTTTACACCTACCTTAAGACCTGTAGAAACAGTCCCAGATGACTGAAGTCTGTGTGTGATTTTAATGCACTACAGTCATCACCTTGCACTGCGTAAGCAACACAAGCCCTGACTACAGCGATCTGAGAGCAACAGGGACCCTGCGCTGTACTCCTTCTGCCGAGCCATGGACCAGGTTGCAGTGGTGTCTTGCCAAGCCATTGTGGGGTGGACCCCCATCCTGCACCACTGCGTGACTGGCATCAAAACCCAGAACACTTCTGAACAGCCCCCATCTGCCCTGCCCCAAAGTAGTGGCCCCCAAAAGCCAGCGTTTCCCAGAACTGTTTGACAGTGGAATACCCTCGGGCTGTTGTGTGCCAAGGCACTCAGCCCTTCCTGCTCACTAGTCTCCAAAGGCACCTCGCTCCTGTGGTGCTGAGAAGCAGCAAAAGGCCACTAGTCCTTGCACGCTGATAGCAACAGGACTGAGAGTAAGCACAAGGAGTGTGAGCAACTGCGAACCAAGAGCTCTGTCCAAGGCAGAGCTGCAGACCACCAGGCTTCATCACAGGAAGCTGACATCAACAAAACGACTACACTTGCCCAACACCAACATCGTCCCCCTACCACAGCCCCTGCCATCCATGACACGGCCTCACCCTTAGGCTAAGAATTTACATGGCAGGGTTACCTTCTCCATCTCCCACGTCATACAGCCAGCGTCACTGAAGAAATAAAGCAAAGTTCCTGGGCTGAGCTCTGAAATGGGGCCAAACTGTTCCCCATCCTTCTGCTCCAACTTCTAGCCCAGGCACAACCTCAATGGTGTAAGGGTCTTGCCACAGAAATCCCGAGTCCTGACACAAAAGTAAAGCACTGGTACATTCCACGTGCTGAGTTAGTTTCTTTTCTGGGCTATTAATATAACATCTATCAGAAACGATGTAGGAAAGTGCAGTATGTAATACATTGGATGAACACTAGCAAGAAGCCGTAAAACACATTCCTGATGCAAGTCATGCGCTCCAAGAAAAGAGAAAGCTAAAGAATGTTTATAATGTGTTGTTTCCTGAGTGTTACCATGCAAGTTCATGGATGAACTGCAACGGATTGTCTGAGAGAAAGAGTAAACAGGGGTATAAGAATTATTATGTCAGGGCCCTTCTTTAGACAGCAACTGCTGCTCCTCTTCAGCATGCAGGAAAGTCTCTCATTAGCAGACACACATCACTAGGTGCAAGGCCACTTTATGAACTCCTCTGCTTCGGGGAAAATAGGTGTTTTTTAGACCTGCTTTGACATTTCACCAATGGCCATAAGAGCCCTGAGCACATTTGCTGCTTTTCCCGTCACACTCCGTGGCTGCACCAGCAGAACTGCAGTGGACAGTGACCTGTGCGGGGTCAGTCCGTGAAGCCTAAAGCTGTCAGCAGCCAGCAGCCTCAGCCCTGAGCAGCAGCCTGCGAAGGCAGCGGAGCCTGAACCCGCAGCTGGGAATGGGGTTAGCTTCCAGCAAGCCATTTAAGGGTGGCTGATGCTTTAATCTCTTTATAACTTTGTCTCTAAATTGCAGAGGCAAACCTTACCCTTCAGCTTGCCCAGCGTGTGGTGCAGCCCAGGCAGCAGTGAGTAAGCCTGCACTGTGCTCTGGCAGACGCTGGCTGCCCTGCATCCAGGGGAGCCGTGTTCTCTGACCATGCCACTCGTCCACGTGGAGGTCCTCGGCATAGCCACAAGCACTGCTCTCTGGCCCCAAGCTGCAAGGCCAGGCAACCCCAGGCATTGTCCCTGCATAAGAAGTGCTTGATTGGAAGGCCTCAGCCCCACACCCACCACACGCTCCTCCGTGCCCTCTGAAGGGCAGACAAATGCATACATCTGAGAGTGCATGTGCCTGTTACATGCCACTATGCATGGCATGTCACATGCATGGGCCCTACTAGGGACAGCCTTCAAGGCAAGGCAGAAGTTGTACTCTGATAGTCATAAACGAAGACCAGGTTTTATTCCAAACGCTCTTGGGTACAAACTGTAAAGGGCTTCATAAAAGGCAGTATTCCAACAAACGCCCACGGCACCAGAGGCTCGGCTTAGGCTAGAGTTGCAGATTTGGGATAGGGCAAATTGGTATCCTGCAACTAACACCGCAATCAATGGCGAATACTTGCTGCTGGTCCCACAAAATGCCCTAATCCCCACCTCTTGTTTTTCTTAGTGAATCTGGAGTTTGCCCCAGTTAGCATGGGTAAACAGAGTGCTCCAAAATAGGTGCATGAGGCAGAGCTGGCATGGGCTAGCTGACAGAGGGAAAGGGGTTAGTTGCGCTGGCACAGGCTGCACTGGCAGGGACCGAACGCAGGCACAGAGAGACACAGTCAAGCTCCATCCCTTAGTAGAGAACGTCCTCAAAGCCGAGCAGCAGGAACCGGTGCAAGGCACTTGGCAGGTGCAGCTGCGACAGGACTCGAAGCAACCGGCCCTCCAGGAAGGTCCTGAGCGTGCAGCGAGCCAGGTGCTGCAAGGAGCGAGGACTTTGCTCCAGGGAGAAGAGCGACTGGTAAAAACGTGGGTATTTCTACAGGAAGAGAAGAGAGGATCAGAGCCAGCTAAAGCTATAGATATCCTGGAAGCAGAGAGAAAGAGCCAGAGCTAGTTACCCCTTTTGCCTTAATTATTGCAGTACATCCACCACTACTCCCCAGCGGCACCACCCCTCTGCCCTGCAAGCCTCCAGTCCTACCCAAAGGCCCCTCGCCCTATCCCCCCCGGCACCTTGCCCAGGGTAGCCTGGCTGCACCCTCTCCAGCCAGCAGCATGCATCCCTCACCTGCACGACCTCAGCTGGAACAGCCTCCACCCAGTCCTCAGAGACACGCACATGCTCATAGCTGTTCATCAGGGCCTCGATGACACGAGGGCAGGTGTGGCAGTACCGCAGCACCTGTGCCAGGGAGAGAGCAGATGGGCACAGCAAGCGGTCAAGCTCCTGCAGGCCCCATCTTCACATACTGAAAAAGCCGCATATATTCAAAAATGACCTTAGTAAATCCAGGGAATGACTTCCCTTCCCTCATTCTGTCCTGGGGGATCAAACCCATTGATGGTGGGCAGATTCAGAGCACCACTCCAGCTCTCAGAGCATGCTGCAAAGAGGGAGACCAAGCCAACACCCAACACGTGCAGCATGGTTGCCTTCAGCCCAGTCAGGTCCCCACAGCCTCTGCCCAGGTGCAGGGACTGAGGTATGTAGCTGAGATACAGATCCCCTTCATCTGTCTTACCACTAAACATGGCTTGTAAGCAACCAGTACTCTGCTTCACGCCAGGCCCCTTTCCTCATATTTGTCTGGTTAGAACATGAGCTTTTTTGGGGCAAGGACTGGCACCTATTTTGTGTGCAGAGAGACTACAGCATACAGTGCTTCTGTTGAGTGCTGCACAGGCATCTCAGGGATGTAGCGTGCCTGCACCAAGGGAGGCTGCAGAGACATCTTGTATCTGCGCTGTATGCGATGCGGGGCCCAGGCAGCGCTGTGCCCATGTTAGGTGCTACACAGAGCTCCAGGAAGATATCACACATGTTTTGTGCTACACAGGCATCTCTGGTGTGTACCATGCCTGTGTTTTACACCACATGTAGGTGCAAGGGACACACTGCGCCTGTGCATTTTATGCCACCAATGTGGTCTTCGGAGCAGACCCCACCCCAGACAGCGGCACCCAGGTGGGTTCCCCCCTTGGCTCTTGGCACCCACTCTCTATGGCCCAGGCCAGCAGTAGCTGTCAGAGCCTATTCCGGCTGTACGAGTGATCCTCATTATCTGGCGTTAATAGGAGATTAATTAGTGTTAATTGTTGATTTTCCTGTATTTTCCCAAAGGGGAGAGCAATCTGCTGATCTCCGGGCTGGGTAATTATTGCACTGCTCAGGAATTAAGACAAGCAATTAACCCTTCGTTTGCTGGTGTCTTGCAGAGACAGCATGAGTTGGAAGGCATGTCCCAGAGAGGAAACAGACCACCTGAGAGGAAAGGAGCTAATATTTTCTAGGCCAAATGACTAGGGACGTTATGGGTAGGGACCGTCCACACAGCCTAGTGAACAGACAGTGGTAACAGAAGCAGGAGAACTCGCCCCAGGAGAGAGCTTCAGGGCATCCCCTAAGGCTTCCCCTCCCCCAACTACTGGGAAGAGAGAGACAGGACAGAGAGCTAGGAAGCTGGCAGAGGACAAGCCCTGCAGCAGTAGTGACATCCTTGCTCTCACAGGGACCTCAGGGTCCACTGCCTTCCATTCCTGCCCTGCTCTGGGCAAAGCTGTGGGTCCTGCACCTTAAGGAGGGAGCCAGGCCAGATGCGGATGGCACCGTAGTTGAGCAGGACTCGGACCACAAGCTCTGGCTGGTGCTCCAGCTTGTAGGCAGTGGCTTGCAGGATATTGTGCAGTGCCGTGTTGCCGCTGTAGTTCATGATGTTGACGTTTGCACCCCGGGCCAGCAGTAATTCCACTACTTGAGGATTGGTGTTCTTGCAGGCCAAGTGAAGCGGGTGCTGGCGGTCCCTGTCTGCAGCATTGATGTTAGCACCACTCTCCACCAGAAGCTGGCAGACCCTGTAGTAGCGTTCCATGTCCTGGGGTTGGTGGGGCTGAGCACAGGCAGCATTCAGTGGGGTCTGTCCCTCCTCATTCTTTGCCTCCAGCTCTGCCCCATAGCGCAGAAGCAGCTGGACGTGGTCTGTTAGGCCATGCCGTGCTGCCACATGCAGTGCTGTGTCATCTTCCTCCTCTGTCCGGCTGTTCACACTGGCACCATGCTGCAGCAGCTGCTGGACACACCTATGTGGCCCAAGATGACTTAGTGACAGACTCTCTTAACTCCTGTCCAACCTACCCCCCTACCCTTCTCGTCCCAGCTGTGCCAATCCACGGCTCTCACTTCTCCCAAGAATCCAGAAACCCCTACTCCCCATGCCCTGGAGCAGTGGCTTTAAGCTGGGAGTGCTGGTGAGCAGACATGCTGTTACCCTAATTGTAGCCAGCTTTCCACAGAGCTTTAGTAAGTGTCTCACACCCAGAGTCAGCTCCCACCCACCCACCCGGAGGCCTGTCTGCACAGCACATGGCCTGAGCGTCACAGTGCGACCCATAGGCCCTGCACTGCTGGTAGATGGCAAGACAGCAGCGCCAGGCTCAACTGCATTGGCTCTGAGGACTGAGCTTGTAGGCAGCTGTTGGACTTCAGTGGTGGCACCTGCTCTGGGAAAACACCATGCGGCCACCCTATTCAGCAGCTACTGCTGCTGTCCCGCCTGCAGAGATGAGTAGGGACCCCTCCTGCATAGGATAAGGCTTGTGGGGGAAGGAGGTCTACCATGGCCCACCAGACAGAACTCACTGGATGGAGTCTGGGCTCTTGCAGAGATGCAGAGGCTTGTAACCATCCTCAGAAACAGCTTCAGGGTCAGCTCCAAAGCTGAGCAGCAGGCGCACACAGTCTGTACTGGCTGGGGTGCAAGACCCCTTCAGGGGCGGCTTTTCCCCCC